ACTGAGGCCAGAGCACATTTGGTTTAATTTTCCTTTCTTCTCTCCCACCACAGCCTTCATCTAAATACAGTGAATAGTCCTCCACCTTGAGTCTTTTCTATGAGCCATATTAATAGTTTGTAGGCTATTATGTTTATTTTCAGAGGAACTATTTATATAATGGAAAAATAGTTCCTTTGAAAATAAAAATAACAGCATTGATTCCTAATAAAAGATTCTGAGAAAAAGATAAGCTGTTGAAACTTTGTAACAATGTGGGGAATGAGGGGGAGGTTACTTTGGGAGTGGGGACACGTAAAGGAAGAGCAGTGCAGACTTAAAATCAGACTGCCATACTTACCTGGCGGGCGAGATACCATGATCACGGAGGTGGTTTTCCCAGGATGAGGCTCATCCATTGCACTCCGGATGTGCTGACCCTGCAATTTCCCCAAATGTGGGAAACTCGACTGCATAATTTGTGGTAGTGGGGGACTGTGTTCACGCTTTCCCCTAAAAAAAAAACCAATCAGACTGCCACCAGCAATTTCCAGCTCTATGCAGTCATGCCTGGTTTTGCTCACCACTGTATCCCCAGGAGTTAGCACAGTGCCAGGCACTCAGTAAATATTTGTCGAATAAATAAATGCCATCTTGGCTTCCAGCCCAAGGACCTAATACCCAGAACGGTATTGTAATAATTACTGTGTGAATTTTCTCTTAAAAGAAAATAAGGTCCTGTTTAATTTTGTTTCCTTTGAGACCTTAGGTTTGAAAAATCTCTTTGATATCTAATATTTAGAGGAAAAGTTGAGTGCTATTACCCCAAGGAGGAATATTTTTGTTTGTACGGAGTGTGGTTGGTCAACTTTGAAACTCACAAATAGAATTTACTAAATAAGAAAGTGTTTTCCTGTCTACAGTGTGCAAATTGCATAGGGTAATATGACTTCTGTTTTGTATAGTATTTTTATACATAGTTTCCTTATGTCTTTTATAAATAAAAGATAGGCTAAAGCAGTAGAAAGTATAGCAGATCATTCAGTGACAAAGTCCTTTTTGCTTTTAACAACGGAACAATTTCTCACTGGGCATGTTGGTAAATTGACATTTTTTGGGGGAAAAGTATATCAAAATTAGGTCTTGTTTAAGCAATACCAGATACAATATATTTAAACCCAAAGGGAAAAGGATCCTTTTAAGTTGGTACTTTATCAGAAAAAGTACAGTAGTACCTAGAGCAGTACTGTCCAAGAACATTCTACGATGGTGGAAGTGTTTTATCTGCCCTGTCTGGTATGGCAGCCACTAGCCATATTGGTCACTGAACACTTGAAATGTGGCTAGTGTACCTGAGGAAGTGAATTTTTTTTTTGAGACAGAGTCTTGCTTTGTTGCCCCGAGTAGAGTGCAGTGGCATCATCATAGGTCACTGCAACCTCAGACTCCTGGATTCAAGCAATCCTCCTGCCTCAGCCTCCTGAGTAGCAGGGATTACATCTCTGTGCCACCACACTTGGCTAGTTTTTAAAAATTTTTTGTAGAGATGGGGGGGGTCTCACTATGTTGCTCAGGCTGATCTTGAACTCTTGGCCTCAAGTGATCCTCCCACCTTCAGCCCACCAAAGTGCTAGGATTACAGATGTGAGCCACTGCGCCCAGCCAGGAACTGAATTTTTAACCTAATATTAGTATATTTTTGTTTTGAAAAATTATCATCTAGTAAAATTTACTTCTTTTGGTATACAGTTCTATGAAGAAATTCTTTTAGTTTTGTGAACGTTAATACATGTATAGATTCACTGAACTATACCACCAACCAGTACATAGCACAGTACTATTACCCCCCAAAACGCCCTCATGGTACCCTGTTTCCCACCTCTAGCTCCTAGAAGCCACTATTCTGTTCTCCATTTTCCCCTTTAGTTCGGATGTTTAAATTACTTAAAGTCATTTTTTTTTTTGTTTTTTGAGATGGAGTCTCACTCTTTTGCCTGGGCTAGAGTGCCATGGTGTCATCCTAGCTCACAGCAACCTCAAACTCCTGGGCTCAAGCGATCCTCCTGCCTCAGCCTCCCGAGTAGCTGGGACTACAGGCATGCGCCACCATGCCCGGCTAATTTTTTCCATATATTTTTAGTTATCTGATTAATTTCTTTCTATTTTTAGTAGAGATGGGGTCTTGCTCTTGCTCAGGCTGGTCTCGAACTCCTGAGCTCAAACAATCCGCCCGCCTTGGCCTCCCGGAGAGCTAGGATTACAGGCGTGAGCCACCACACCCGGCCTTAAAGTCATTTTTTAAATCAGAAAATCATTGGCCTAAGGGGGGTGAGATTAAAGTTTAAAAGAGGATCTCTTTAAAAAAAAAAAGACACAAAAGCCTTCATTTGATAGTGGCTGCAGTTATACTGCATCTCTTTCAAAAGTTTATGTCTCAACTATATGTGGTTGGCTAGTCTGTGGTTTATTCTTGGAAAATGTTAAATAGTGTAATCCAATACCAAATATAAATTATTTCCCTAATTCTTTTGTTTTGGATCGTTTATAATGGTGATCTCTTTCATCACTAGGAATGAGCTAACCAACTAGAATTATCAGAGTCTTAGAAACTTTATATGTCATGGGCAAATTTCAAATTTTCACCAAATACATAGTCATCAATTATCAAGCTAAAAGAAGTGATAAAAATAGGAAGTTCATTAAAATAGGTGAAAGATTTAACTATGTAACTATTGTGGACAATTGAAAGTGAGATTTTCTCCTCTGAATTACTTTTAAATATATTTTTGAGTTTTTATTTTATGGAACAAAGCTTTTTACTAGGAATTAATAATTATAATAATACCCATATTTTAAACTGCTTTTTGAATATTGATATCCTACTGGCATCTCAAAATCAACAGTTCCAGAACTCAATTCATCATCTTTGCTTTCCCTCCACTCTAACCTCTTAAATTCCTCCTGTTTTCTTCCTCTCTTTCTGATATCAGTTAATGGCATCATCATCTAGCCACTGGTCCAAGCCAAAAACCTTCAAGTCATCCTAGTCAGCTCCCTTACCCTTTATATCTCATTAGTAGGCCCTGCCCTCCTAAATGTACCTTGGAACTGCCCCTTTTCTTTTTACCCCCAGTGTTCATGCCTTAATTCAGACCCTCTATGCATCACTGTTGCAATTGCAGTAGCCTCCTAGCTGATTTCCCTTCCTCCTGCATCATTCTACTCCACCTTAATATCATCTTCCACACTGCCTCCAAAATGTTTGTTCTCTAAAATGAAAATCTGATCATGTCATTTCTCTGCTTAACTTTTCCATGACTCCTCATTACCTATTGGATATATTACAAACCATTATTGGTATATAAGACCTCACAATAAAGCAGTTGCCTAATTCTCCAGCCTTTCATCTTTCCCTACTTTTGTGTTTTCATTTGTCTGAAATTCCCTGCCTCATATATCCTTGCAGATTCCTGTTTTTCCTTTAATGCTCAGGTGTTATCTCCCCTGAGAAGCCTTTTTTGACCCATATTCCCAGGGATGAATGAGTATCCGTTTTCTGTATTCTCTGTCCTAATAGTGCTTCCTGTGACTGTGACATATTGAGCTTTATATCCTGAGAATCCCAGTTCCTAACACACATAGTAAGTGCTCGATAAATGTCAGTTCTTCAGTTACTTTTACACACCTCATTGCAGTTACAAATGACTTTCCTATTTATTTACTCATATGATCCTTATAACAGCCCTGAGAGATAATAGGGCATATTTTCTCATTTTTCAGATGCTAGAACTAATGAGTGTGGTTGAGTACTAAGTGGAGAATTGACCCTGGAACTCAAATCTTCTGACTCCCAACCCAGTATATTTCTATGAATGTGTGTGTGTGTGTGTGTGTGTGTGTGTGTATCTGTCTGTCTGTCTTCATTATTAATCTTTGTAAGATGTTAGCCAAAGAAGTGCAGTCATGACAGTAGTTAAATTACATGCAGTAGCTGAGCTTTAAGAGCGTAGTCATTGTTCTATAATCTAATCAGGCAAAACAACAAAGATGTTCTTATTTTGAACAAAATTAATACTGTGCCCTAGTGACTTAGGGGGATATAGGAGTATATGCTACAAAATTCTATGAATACTGCCTTCTCTCATAAATTGGTATGTTTATATCTTTTCTTGCCAACAAAATTACCTT